CCCCTCCACCCTCCCAAGGGGCACAGCTCCCCTGCCTTGCCCGGCCCAGGCCTCCTGCCACTGGCCACTCCATCTACCCCTTCCCGCGAGGGCGTCTCTGTGAGCAGGGGCCCGGCCTTCGGCCTAAACAAATAGGTGAGCTCAGCACCCTGCTGCTGAGGCTGATGCAAAGCCTTGAGGAAGGGGGGCCAAATGTGCCAGGAAGGACAGCCTCACGGGACAGGCTTGGGGAGACAGGGAGGGCTGATTTGTGGCCTGGAGAATCCAGATGCCAAAAAGGAGGCCGAATCGGGAGGCAGCTGTCACCGACCACACCCAAGGGAGCGGTGCTCAAGGGGCCCAGGACCACCTCTGCTGTACACGGTCATGTGCCTGACACTTTACGTGGTATCCTCGGGAATCCCTGAGGAACTGGAGGTGCAGGACTCTGAGCTCCTTGTTCAGGGCACACGGCGGTCAGCGCTGGGACTGGAACCCAGGTCTAACTGTCCTCATTGGCTGTGCCTTTTCTACCCTACACTGTCTATGATGTCAACTGGGCCTGCTCCCCACCAAAGCCAGAACCCCTTCTCCCACCCAGCACCTGATATGGAATAGGTGCCCAGTGACTCTTTTAAAATATATGGTTGGAGGGAGAAATGAATGAATAAGTCAACTTACCTTTAAATTCTATAGCACTTGGGTTTTAAATCTAAGCCCTGATTTCCTGGTTAAGATGAATATATGAAAGCAGCCTCCTTCAAAAAAGGGAAGCAGAAGAAACAAACATAAAAGGGAAGCCAATTTCAAATTAATCTCACTGAAGGTCGCTGGGTCTTAGATAGAGGGCTGGGACGGGGGTAGGAGAGGTAGGGGGCGGCGGGCAGGCTCCCTCAACACCGCCCCCCCCATAAGGGAGCGATTTGTCCAGCACATAACAGCTGCTGGTCCATTTGAATCCTTAACTTTGGCTGAATGGGTCTATCCATCATCCCTAACACTTTCCTGCAAACCATCCCCTCAACTTCTCCCTCCAGGAAGACTTCCTTCATCTCCCCAGCCAGACGGACTCTGTCCTCCATCTCTGGATTGCTCTCCTGCTACTTACCGCGTAACACAGTATAACGCATGCACTCACTCATTCACCCAGCACCCATCCATTCAACATTCCTTACCCGACTACGTCACTCAGTTACCGGGCACTCAGGTGAATGCACATAGTTCTAGGTACTGGGAATGCTGTACCAAATACGGCAGGTAAAAACCTCTTCCCTCCTGGAGTGTACAGTCCAGTGGGCAAGACAGGCACAAAATGAGGAGACTAACAAATCTCTGATACATTTCAGGTGGTGATGGGTGTTATGAAGCAAAACAAAGCAGGTAGGATAAAAAATGGCAGAGCAGGTCCGTTTCAGATAAGATATCCAGGAAGGCCTCTGGGGAGAGGCATTTGAACTGAGCTCTTCCTACCACCCTATGGACAGAAAAATGAACCAGCTGATGTTCCTCAGGGAGCTCACAGTCTAGCAGGGAACAGAAGAGCTGGTCTTTCCTGGATAGTGCAGGAGCGGGTCTGGCTCCTCACACACTGGAAGTCAGTGATCTTTTCAAACACAAATCTGGCCAGGTCCCTCCATGACTCAAGAAGCTTCAAACACTCCCCACTACCCTTGGCATCAAGTCCAAACTCCTTAGCCTTACGTCCTAGAGCTTCAGGACCTGCCCTGCCCTCCTTTCTCAACCTCATCACCCACTGCTGTGGCGCTCAACACCTGTCTTCCTCAGATACACCCAAGTAGGTATCCGATTACCATGCCTCCACGTCTTTACACACACTGTTCCTTTTTCTAGGCAAAATTGTCATCCTTCTCTGGTCCTAAAGTTGACCTCCTTAACTTAGAGAACACTGTTTGTTAGGGTGACAGGTGGCTGAGAAGGTTTCATTGCAGGGAGAATGGGAAGTGGGAATATAAAGGAGAAAGCCATAAAAGATGAAAACAACCCTCTTCCCTCCCAAACTGCCTCTGCTGCCCCAGGTGGTTCAAAAACTTCTTCCTGGTGGCACTCTGGGACACGCGTGCCACATTACGCCTTGCCAACTGCTTTCCCTGTCTGCCTTTCCCCTACCTTCCTGCTGGGCCTGGGGTCCAGTACCCCACCAGCCAGAGAGGAAGCTCCAAAACTGTTTGGAGATCAAACGAACAAATGCACAGAGGAGACCCGATTTTCTCTCAACGTCAACCTTTGGATTCCATCTAGTGGCTCGTCTGTCACTGGCCTCTTCCCTTGTTGGATGTGTCCCCAGGGCACTTCCATTCCCCTCTGAGCCCTCACTTTAGATGCTCCAGGCTTGTGCTTCCCATGGGGGTCTCATGATTTGGGGGAGATACTAAGCTCACCATCCTAACCTAGGAGTCCTCCCCCCAACACACACACACACACACACACACACACACACACACACCCCACTCTCCTCTCACATTCCAAAGGCTGGGGATTTCCTAGGACCTTAATGCTCAGGACAGCCCTGTTACTACAGGGTATGAGGAAGGGCAAGGGCACAGGAGTGGTGGCCACATGTCTCCGGGCCCTGGGAGGCCCGGGGCTGCCCCCCCTACCACCCTGAGCTCCAGCTCTGCTTCCATAGGCTGCGCTGCTCCCAGGAGGACCCGGAGTCTCTGGGGATGAGCCACAGGCAGCACTGTCCATCCCTGCCTTCCAGCCCCCACACAGTTCTTCGGGGCGGACTTTTCCCACTCACTGTCTGGTTGGGATCTCTCAAGCACCCCAATGAGGCAGGTAGGATGGGCACCATGATCATCCTCATTTGACAGATGAGGAAACAGGCTCAGAGAAGGGAAGTAGGGTGCATACACTCTCTGCATCCATTTGGTCAGCTCCCGGTGAACCCCTCATAGACTACATAGACTAGACTCCTTGGTGTCCGGGGGGAGACGGAAGAGCCTGAAATGAGGTTTGGGGTGCCCGCTGCAGGCCTCCTCCCACCCTGTCCCCAAGTGGCAGCCTGAGAAGCCACCCCTCCTGTTGTGTCAGCAGCCGACCAGCCCTGTGTCCAGGGCCCAGGGTCCAGCCTGGGTGCAGCCTACCAGAGACCAACGCCCCCTACCACAGCCATGGCTGGACAGACGTGGCCCTTCCTTCTAGCCCACGGTAATTAAAAACACGCCCAGGCTTCTTCCAATGAAAGAGGGGCCAATTTTCTTCCCCTCCAGCACCGCTGACTGCAACCTACATAGCAATATTTATGCCAAGCTCCCCATAATACTGTAAACATCCCAATGTATAGTGGGCCAACACATGAGTCATTTCCCCAAAGCCAGAGTTAATAAGTGGTACCTCAACCATATTCCAGGGAGCTCCTGCCCGCACCCAGGGCCGCGTGGCTCCCTCAGAGCCCCCGGGGCCTGACACCAAGAACCTCAGGCAGCCTCTAAAACCTCCAGGAGCCTGAGGACGGTGGCTTCCGTGCCAGCAACTGTGGCTGCCATCCAGGATCACCCCCTCGTCCTCTGAACCCTGTTCACTAAAGCACTCATTGCTGAGAAAGAAACTAAAGTTATAGCATGCTCCCCATTGTGCCATCCTCAGAGGCTGCAGCCCGCAGGCCTGGTCGGATCTGTTTTGGGGTTTGGGGGTTTTGGTCGTTTGTTTTTGATTTGCAAGAAGGGAAAGGAGCTTCGCGCTACTCTGCAGTGGCCTGAGATAGGCGCGCACGTTTCACCTCTCTGCGCCTGGCGGCAGAGCCCTGGAAGAGGTTTAGGAACAAGGAGACCTAGCAAAGAGGGGAGAGCCCAGGTTTCAGAGACCTCAGACCTGGGCTGTATTTTTGTCACTTGCTGAATTCTTAGCCTTGGGTTCCCCATCTATTACAAGGGAGCAAGAGTCACAGTCACCTGGCTTCCCAGGAAGACTTATTTTGGGAAATCCAACAACATTGTGGGTGGGAAAGCACTTTGTAAATGTAAAGTACCCTGTCAACTGTGCAGCACGTTGTAAACCACAGAGAGCTGCACAGAGTGTAAAGTACTTCATAAACTGTAAAGCGGTGTGAAAACTGTAAAGTGCCGTACACACGAGAACCATTATTCATATTCATTTCTCGCCCTACAAGCTCGGCCATTTCTAGTGGGCACACCCAGACCCCACTAACTTTCCCTCCAGAGGAAGCTGGCTCAGGAAACCTGGCAGCCCGCCTGTCCCTCTGGGGGTCCGTGGTACCATGGGGAGACGGCCCAGCGACCCTGGCCAAGGCCAACACATGGCAAGAGCATCTGGTCCGGCCCTGACGGCAGCTGGAAAGTTCCCGGGGCTCCAGCGGCCACGCTGAGCTCGGCCGCCAGCGGGGCGGTGGCCGGCAGGGGTGCTCGGAGACCCCGCGCAGCGGAGAGATGCCCACGAACCCATCCCCCCGTAGTCCTTTCGGGGAGGGGACCCCATTGTACGCCGCGGGCGATGGGCAGGCACGGACGCGAGGGGCTGGCGCGCTCACTTCCACTGTCAGTCCCAGCTCTTTGGGGCGCCGATCCTATCCCGGGGGCGCGGACTCGGAGCCCCCACCTTGGCCAGCCGCGGTGCCTCCCTCCTACTGCTCCCTGCCAAACTTTCCAGCCCCGACTGCGTGCCGGGTCCCCCGGCCGGCGCCCCTCAACCCCGTGCCGAGCAAGGCCAGGCCGGCGCGAAGGGGGTGACCGGGCCAGGGGCGGCGAGCGCGCGTGGGCAGCCCCCGGCCCTGGGCGGCGCTTGCCCGGCTGGCTACAAAGCCTCGGCAAGATGGTCCCTTCGCCTCCTCCTGGCACAGTCAATCAGCGCCCGCGGCTCCCCGGGCGCCCGCGGGGCCCGCACCTCCAGGCGCGGCCGGACACACCTCCCCGCGGCCACCTGCGCCCGGTGCGAGCCCCGGGGCAAACTTTGCGGGCCGCGGGGCGGAGGTGGGCGCCGGCGGCCGCCCGTGCCCGGCCGCTCCCCACCCCCATCGCCCGCCCGCCCGCCCGCCCGCTCACCTTCCACCGCGGCGAGCAGCGGCAACAGCAGCAGCGCGGCCCCCAGCCTCTGCAGGGCCATGGCTGCGCTTCCCGGGGCCTCGGGCCGCGGCTCCGCGGGGCCCGGGCGGCCCGGGCGAGAGCGCGCGCCCCGGGCTCGGGGGGCCGGGGGGAGCGGCGAGGCGCGGCGCACACACAGCCGCCGCCACCGCGCAGCCAGCAGAATGAGCCATCCAGCCCGGGCAGAACGGGGACCCGGGCTCCGCCAGTGCTGGGCACAGCCCACCTGAGCCGCGGGCGCGGGGGAAGCCCGGCCGGACCGCCGCCCCCCACGCTCGCCCTGGACCCCAGCTTGTCGCGTGGGCCCTCCAATCCCCGGTCTCCCGCGTCCCCCGGGTCACCCGGGGGCAGGGCGGGCGCTGGAGCGTGGAAACCTTTCGCGCTCCTGCGGCGGAGACACCGGGCTCCCCCCGCGCAGCAGTGGTCTCTCCCGGCGCTGTGGCTCCTCCAGATAAAGCAGCGATTTCAGCCCAAATGTTTCTGAATTTTTATTGAATGCTGCAAAGCCGGAGAGCGTCTGGCGCGGCTGACAGGGGCAGGGAGAGGGGACCCGGGGGGAGGGCGGAAGAAGGGGCTGCCCAAAGCAGACTCTGGCCCTACCTGTCAGGGCCGGGAGTGCCACCCTCTCGCCTCAGCCCTGCCACCCCGTCCCTGCGGCTCCGAAAGGGGCCGAATTGCAATGAATGAAAAAGAGAGAGAGAGAAAGGTGTGGGGGGGGGGGGGAATGGGAACAAAACAGGCGGCTTTCCCAGGCGCTGGGACTGGGCTGGGGCCTCCGCCTGGGAGAGTGGGCCTTGGCGCTAACAGGAGGGCCGGGAGGGGGGGCGGGGGGGTCACTCCCGCAGTGGTGGGCCGGGCCCTGGCAGGCAGACCCCAGGCCTACCCTCCCCGCCTTGTTCTGAGCCAGAGCAGGAGCCCCTCCCTGCAGACCCTTCTATCTATCTGCACATTGGATTTCTCCTCTGTTCACCTCTTCCCAACGCAGTTTGGGGGTGAAGGAGGACGATTGGGGGCATTTGGGGAGGCCCCCTCCCTGCGCCCCCCCCATATGGAATGGACCTGTCTGCAGCCACAGTTTGTGCATGGCTGTCCCTTCAGGGAGGACACAACCCCTTGTTCCATCCCTGTGGGCCCGGCCCTGCTCTGACAGCCTTCATCACCATCATCATTAACAGGCTTTGCTGAGGCCGGATGGTGGGCGGGCTGCAGAGGGCCTTCGGGGATCATCCAGGCAGGGCTCCCGGCCTTTGGGAGAATCGCTCCTGACACACAAGACTTAACCAGGAGCTTCCCCCTCTGTGGAGTGGGTGTAAGAGCCCAGTGGAGGCACAGACAGTTTAAATTTAGTCTGTGCCACCCAGACCACTCCTGCCCCTTTGTCCCACAAAGTATCAAAATATCCCTGCCATCCCCTCCCTTCAGGGCTTACCCTACAGTTCATACCAAGAAAAGGGCACCACAGACTTTGAGACTCCATTTAAGGTTTGGGAAACTGGGTCATCTTTTGAAGCTTCAAGAGTCCAACTGAAATGGGCCCCATCCTGGAAGGCCACCAGGAGGAAGTGAGCCTCAAAGGCTGGGACAGACAGCCTGGGAAGGAGAAGTGAGCCACGAGAAGGGACATGGGGAGTGGGGGAATTTCCCCCACTTAAGCCTGCAGACTCCTCTCTGACTAGGGTCAAGATCCACTGGGGTGGGACTGTCTTTATTTTTAGTTCCTGCTTCTCAGACTTTCCAGGGGACCCTGTGCTTGACCCATCCTAGGGCAAGACCCCCTTTCCTGAGCACAGTGGCTCCAAGCTATCAGGTTCCCCAGTGCCAACAACCAGTGCCCGACCCCTTCCCCATTCAAGAAATATTTCTTGAGCACCTATTATGTGCTAGGTGGATTCAGCTCTTCTGCTGTTTCTATCCCCCAGGCCCCTGTTACCACCCACCCATCCCCAGTGGTATACCACCCTCCTTGACTCAAACTAGGAACACCAGTGGCATTCACTAAGGAGCCGGTACGTGGCACTAGGCTAAGCTTTGTTTATACATTGTTCTCCTTAACATTCAACCCTATAAGGGAGGTGCTGACCTTTTCAGATGATGGAACTGAGGACCGGATAAGTAATTTGTCCAAGGTCACACAGCAAGTCAGAGCTAGAGTTCACACCAGGCCTGCCCTACCCCAGTGCTGCTGCCCTGTGCCTTTCATGAATGAACGAATGATGAATAGAACTCGGGGAGTCATCTCATCTTCTTTCAACATCCCCATTTCACAGATAAGAAAACTGAGGCCTAAAGAGGGAACTCACTCACTCAGCGTTGTAGAATCAAATAGACATCAGTCCAGGGCCTCTAGCTGACTAAAAAGGAAAATGGTGGTAATAGTAAAATGCAGCCCCTCTTTGCTCCCAATTTTTTCTCCCTAAGCATTTTATTCCCCATTCCAGGTCCTATAGGGCACCTCGGTTTTGCAGTCTGGCCAGACGCCTCCTCACTGGTCTCTGTGGCAACTTCCTTCAGCTCTGCCTTTGTCCCAGCTGTGCCCTCTCCTCTCTTCGGGCTTGGATCTGGCCCCACCCTACCCCCTACCAGGAGCTTTAATTGACATTGGCCTCACCCCCTCTCAGACCATTTGCACTTATTATCTGTTTCCTGAAGGACAGTCCATTGCTGGTGTCTCCGATTGTTTATGTCGATTCGCATCTTATTTCTATCACCCCTGCAGACTGTGAGCTACCTGCAGGCAGTGCCCAACTCAGAACAATCCACTGCCAGGGTGGGAGGCCCCCACAGAGCCTCTGACCCAGTCCCCTCCTCTGCTGAGGAAGAGGCGGCTTGAGCTTCATTTGTCTAATGACAACAGCTACTCACATTTGCAATCACGCTTTAACAGTTTACAAAGCAGTGTTCACACCCATCAACCATACTGATGCTAATTCAACCAGCCTACCCTGCCAGCCTGGCTCGCAGTCGTGGGAGCTCCATTTTTCAGAAGGGGAAATTGGGGCCCAGAGAGGAGAAAAAGAACTTGCCTAAGGACACAGCAGGTCATAGAGTCGGGGGTGAAGGGGCTGGAACTAGGCTTCAGTGACCTGATTTGTCCACTTCTCTTCCAATCAAATTTGATTCAATAAACATTAATCGGGTACTTCCTACTTGCTGGATACCGAGGACGCTGGGACACAGCCATGAATCTCTCCGACCAGGCCTGCTCCTCTAGAACCTACATTCTGTTGTGGGGAGACCTATACATGTATAAGATAATTAAGATAATGCTAAATGCTCCCTGGCCAGGTAGCTCGGTTGGTTAGAACATTGTCCTGATGCCCCAAGACTGCGGGTTTGATCTCCGGTTAGGGCACAGAGAAGAAGCAATCAATGAATGCATCCATAAGTGGAACAACAAATTGATGTTTCTCTCTCTCTTTTCCTTCCTCTCTCTCTAAAAATCAGTAAATAAAAATTTTTCAGAAGATAATGATAACTGCTGGAAGACAATAAAACACTAACAGTGAGTGACGATGGGAAGGAGCTACTCTAGCCAGGGGGGAATCACTGAAAGCCTCTTTGAAGAGGAAACATGACAGATGGAAGCTGGATGATGAGGCGTCCACCATGCGAAAGTATGGAAAATGAGTTCCGGGGGAAGGAACTGCAAATGCAAAGGCCCTGAGGTGGGAGTATGCTGGGTACCTTCTAGGAAGAGCAGCGGAAGTGTGGCAAGCAACTGGAGCATGGAGATTACGTCCAGGAGGGGGATATGGATTGTATTTTCAGCATAGCGGGGAGGCCTTGGTAGAGAATGAATTGATCCGACGTAGGGGAAGCAGCATGAGCTTGGTTTAGCAGGGCCTGGAAGCAGCCTGGGTAGCCACGTGTGCCACTGTCCTCCTTGACTATGGGACTGGCCTGACCTCTATAGCCCGAGACTGAGATTCCAGGGTATGTCCCAGCCCTCCCCAACTCGCTGTGTGGCCTTGGGAGGGACACTAACCCTTTCAGGGCCCCACTTGCCACAAACGCAAAGTGAGGGTATGGGCCAAGATGATTTATCTGAGGCCACTTTCAGCCTTGACTTTCTCAGTGTTGTGAACTCACTGGGGACTGTAGGACCTGGGTCCTCCTCACCAGCCAGGAGATGCCAATGAGCTCTCTGTCCCCTCTGCTTTATTCCTGACAGGGAAGGTGGAGGGGGTTCTGAAAGCGAAATGTGTTATGCTGACAGACGGAGTCTGCAGAAAATGTAGAGGTCACCTCTCAGTGTCCCTGGGTCACTCCCACCCAGTGTCCTTCCTCTGCCCAGGTGCGGGGCGGGTGGGGGCACACGGTCAGTTATGGGTCAGACCACGCCTGGAGCCAGTGCCAGGCCAGGAGGAGCTCCTTAACAGATACCTGGCTCAAGTTCTATTCTACCATTCACTTGCTGTGTGTCCTCACATAAGTCTCTTGCCCTCTCTGAGCCTGAGCTGGCAGAGTTACAGATCTACCCTCAGGAAGCTCATGGACCAGCGCTGTACACAAGCCCCATACACAAGCCCCCTATATAATGTTTTATTTTCTCGTAATACAGGGCTCATATGTAATTTTTGGCTTTCTAATAGCCACATTAAAAAGTAAAAAGAAACAGTTAAAGTTAATTTGAATATATTTATTTAACCCAATATATCCAAAATATTGTTTCAACACCTAATTAATAAACTATTTTATATTCTCTTTTTCATATTAAGTCTTTGAACCCTGGTGTGTATTTTATATTTCTGCATCTGTAAGTTCCCTCTAGCCACATTTCAAGTGCTCAGTAGCCACATGTGGCTAGTAACTAGTGGTTAGCAAATTGAATAGCATAGATTTAGACACTGACAGCAATAACTACCCCATGGAGTAAAAACTGCTCTTTAATTGAGGCTGTGCACACCCTCCAGGGACACAGAGGAGAAGGAGGGAAGGCTTCCTGGAGGAGTTGGGAAAAAAACATCTTCATGGCTAATATTCTTTCTCCCTCTTTTCAGAAAATCATTTTCT